GTATTTTGGTAGCTAAGCAGTGTCATAATATATGGACCTCCTGGGTCCTAAGCAAAATTTATGTGTGACCTTACAGGTAAACCTATTACATTTTAGGTTTGGCGTTTAATATGTAGAATACAGATAAAACCTATTTATATAAAATGATGTGACTTTTCCTATTAATAAAATATGGCTCCATGCAAATATCAATCCCAACTCAATTAATTAATATCACTTTCAACAGAAATCCTTAAAACAGACAGCAGGTAAAGTGAATGGTGTAGAGCTATTTAGTACTCTGTTAAAGTATTACTTCAGTTGATTGACTTTGCTCTCCCCCTCATTTCAACTATGAAGTAATTGGTATTTAAACTTATCACTAATCATAAATACATTGAAATATTTGTTATGGTCTGCCAAACTCTGCAACAACAAAGACACCCAAAAATTTTTTTGGCCTTCTCTCAGCATCAGAGGCAAGAATCAGAAGAATCATTCTACTGACAGATCCAGGGGGGTCTATGCTATTAAGATTGCTACAGCTTCAGAACATTGCACTAGCAATTACAGCAGAACCAAAGAAATTAATTGAAAAATTGTGACTAGAACAGCTTGTTATACATGCATCACAGAATGGTGTGACTATCAATACTGCCTACAAACAACTCATTTATAAACAAAATATGAGTGGAGTGCTCTAAACAAAGTATATGCTCTTATATTTTACAATGTAAAGTGTTAGTTATTTTCTTCTTAAAATGTCACCCAGTAGTGTGACTCATAAAGGAATCTCATTCACTGAGGTGACCACATTGGACACGGCATTGTGGCAGGCTTATGCAATTTATACTCTAACTAAATCCCAATAATTTTTTAAGTCAGGTGTTTTTAAAAACTATTACTTTTTGTGATCTTTGAAGTTGTTTAGTGAGTGAGTGCGCTGGATTCTATATGTTGTTTTAATTGGCCCCAGCAGCACCCTTATAATGTATGCATGTTCAGGTAAGTGCAGCCCTCTTGGTTTCATTGGTTAAAGGAACACCATAGGCACCCAGACCACTTCAGCTCATTGAAGTGGTCTGGGTACAGTGTCCCTATTGCCCTTTACATTACAGCACTAAGTCTGCTCCCAGACAACTACTGGAGGCGCTTCCTGCATCTAAACAGACCTTTAGTCCGGTATATGATGCTGGACATTTTCACACTCTGCATGAGGACATCGAGCTTCAGATTTTTCCCTGTAGGAAACTACTGATTCAATGCTTTCTTTAGGGAGGTCTAATGCGCGCGCTGCATTTTCTGTGCATGCGCATTAGCACCTGCTCGTCGCAGGATGGAGGTGGAGCCGTGACCAAGCGCAAAGGGATATTGGTGCTGGGATAGGGACAGTGAATAAAGGGTTTTTAACTCTTTATTTACTGCGGTGTGGTGGGGGGCGCAAAGGAGGGGGAAGGCAGAGAGAGGTAAAGTGCCAGGAATACAGCTTGGTATTCCTGGCACTAATAGTATCCCTTTAAGGAGTCCAGGCCAACTCTCTTGGTTTTGAACCCCTCCCTGTCACAGGTGCTCTTTTCCAGGATTCTATTTAACCTTGCATTGCTAAGAACTCCATGAGGTGAGATTTCCCAGGTAAGTGGATTAATCTCATAAGACCAGGCATTAAAAAAACCACAATAAAATGCTGTGAGATTTGAAGTTGGTGTGACGGAGTGCGCTGGATTCTGTATCATTTGCAATAACCTAAACACAGGTTAGCTAGGTCTTTCTTTACAGTCTTCCCCCCCCCCAAAAAAATAAGCACTCACAGTCAATCAGATTATGTCACAATCCCATTATGGCATCAAGCTTATTTGCTTTATATATAAATCTCAGTCTAAGATAAAGTATCCACAGACCATAAACTGCAATATAAATACAAGTGCATTGCTCGACCAGTTTTATCATAAAGTATAGCAATGTTTCACAAGCGTGTTGGTGTAGGGTTACCTGCCAGAGGTAATTCGATGCATTTTTGCTCCAATATGATACGAGTCAGTGTTACCTGATAAAAAAACATATGTCACAGAACACGCGGTGAAGGCCACGTTTTATACCTTTGGTTAGCAATGGTATGAGTCACCCTTACAACAGCACACTCGTAACTTTTGCTAACACACTAAGCTCCATTTACAATTTAAAAGAACACTGTAGCGTTAGAAATAAAGACATGTATTCCTAACACTATAGTGTTCCCCTACCTATCTTGGTGTCCATCCCCTTGCAGGGATTAGAAGGGTACTAACCTTACATCTAACAGTGCACCGATCTATGTGCTGAAGTTCTGTCTCTTTGGCTGAGATCCTATAGGGAAGTATTGGGAGGCCAGTGTGCATGGCAAAAAACGCCAATCAAATGCTCTCAATGAGTTATTTGAGGTTTCGCTCACTCATAGCTGTGGAAGCGCCTCTATTGGCTGTCTTCAAAACAGCCACTAGAGGCATGTTAACCCTGCAATGAAAATATTGCTGCTAACATTGAGATGAAGTGGTCTGGGTACCGATAGAGTCCCTTTAAACCCTCAAACCAGGACCTAATTTCCTGTCGTGATTTTATGGTTAAGACTTTCATTCACAGGGTGATAGACAACCTTATTTCTAATGTAATCACCATAAAGTGGAATCGTGCAGTGGCATCATCACCACTTTTTTTTAAATTAAAATTTGCACACTTTTTTCGTGATTGACCTCTTTAGGAAACATAGGGTGGGTGTCCACAATTGCATTGATGATTTTTCAAATACTTCTGAAATAAAAAGGTAAAACCATATGCTGTCATCTATTAGAATTGCGATCCAGTTGTGTGTTGCCATCTATTTCTTCCTCATTGATCCCCGGGGTGAAGACAGACATAGGTGTGAATTCAAAGTGATTTCAAATTTAAGGCAAGAGGAACTGAACTGATTGTATTTAAAATTAACTTTGAATAATCCTGCAGGACTTGAGTCCAGGTCCTGACTGAACTTGCTGCAGTCCCAGTTATACTCTGCTAATATAATTTTGTCACTTTAATCCGTGTTTTGCAGACTTCCTGCAAGGATGTACAGAATGCATATCCCAAAGATTCCCTATACCCCACTGGCAGTCAAGGGGTCTGTAATTAGGGCCACGATTTGGAAATATGGAATGTAGCACATGCCTAGCAGTACATTAGGGGTTAACCATTCCTGGAACTATCATTCACATGGTTTGGTTTTCTTAGGACCATCAATACGAATAGCCAGTATTGAAGAATTTTCAGACTAAAGCATGAGGTTAAAAAGATGTGTGTCTTCCAGCCCCTCATGGCTTTTCATTTAGGAGTGGATTTAAAGTACGAGCAAGGAGGCGCCAAACATCTTGTGCCTAAGGGTATATAATGCATAAATCTGTCCCTGTCTGAAATTCTTTGTAAAGAAGAGTAATGCAAAGAATTACACGAGCGGACAGCTTAAAGAGATGGTCTGGCCATTGTGAATTGGGATTACACATTGAACATAGTATATGTAGAACTATTGTTCTCATAGTGAGAGAGCTTGGAGTTGTGTAATACCGAATGATACAGTCCCAGGTGGCTCTTGTCAGCCATACATCTGGGCAGTTCCTGCTTAGCATCTGCCATCATCAGACATGAAGCCTGCAGCCCAAGAGAAGCTATGTTACTCACCCTGAGGAGGTGAACATAGAGGAGAAACGGAAGCCCAAACCACACTTCGATGCAGACAATATTGTTATTAATAAGCAATGTATTATAATTCAGAGAAATTAAAACAATCTTAGAAAACAAAAACTTATTGTAAAAACATTCCAGATCATCCCATCTCTAATTCACTTTTTCAAAATTACAATGAAATTATATTGAACATAGCAAATGACAATGATACAATGTTACCCTTTGTGAAAGTCAGGAGCACCCTCCAGTGGCCAATTCCATTATTACAATATTATTAAATCGCTATTACCAACTGATATATTTGATATGAACCTATTCACAGCTCACTTTGCAGTGGCGTTTTCTAGTGCAAGCTTAATTTTGCCCCTGTAACACTGTGTTTTAATCATTACAGTGTCTGGCATGTGAGGTTTAATCTTAATATTTAGAATCAATTGCAAGCTGGTTAGCTGCTAATGCCTTCCTAATAATTGTTACTTAGTATGATAATAAATATGGTCGGCCTACTTATGAGGCATAACTGACTGTATAGCATACTTCACTCACCCCACAAACACGTTGTCTCTGTTAGGTATTGTTGTGGAAATGAGATATTGATATATTTTCTAGTTAGTAAAATGTCTATTTACTCATTTAGCTGAAATCAGTAAATAAGCTATTCACGCATATTTAGACAAAATGGCCGCTAGAAGCTTCTAACCCCTCCCTCCCTATAACACCGACTAACTACCTCGTGCAACAAGATGGCGCTGGAATCCGGGGGAGACCCTCATGGTTCCAGTGACATCACCTTTAGTAGGCAGAGCATTAAGAAGACCACTTAACATCTAACCAATTATTGATGTATTTCATGTTATCTCTGACAATGCTTATGATGTAATTCTGCTTTAAAAGGGACCTGCCGACCCCTCTGAATAAACATTCCTCAAGTTATTCAACAACCTGAAACCTGTGTCTGGTGTGAATTACTTCAGGGAGCGTGCACGCATTGTTTCCTCAATTTGGCCAGGGGCAGATACACAAAGAAATAATAAATTTATTGATTGATTTTTCCATTTCAGGTATTGCATAGCATGTTGTACCTACCTTAAATTATTATATCTGTTTACGTATAATTACATAAGGTGTAAATGGAAGGGATATTATAATCAAGAGGTAGATAACACTAAAAGTGTCTTTCTCTGGATATTCCCATAAAATATTGCCATATCTGGCCAGATAAGAAATGTTGCTACATGAAGGGCATTTTAGAAGTTGTGATGGATCAAAATAAGAACAAAATGTGTATTAGGGGACCGGGTGTAACTAGTTTCAGTTTGACTGACCTTCCATCAATAACCTTCAAAGTCAACATTGAACTGCCTTGATAGGTGCTTCAAATGGTCATAAAGACGAGAAGTGGGATATGAGGCGGTATTCCTTGCAGTCTGGATTATCACACTCTCCCATGGTACAGTGTTTGATGGTATAGCACGCTCCCCCATGGCACAGTTTGGTGGTATATCACACTCCGCCATTGTACAGTGTCTGGTGGTATATCACACTCCCCCATGGTACAGTCTGGTGGTATATCACACTCCCCCATGGCACAGTGTCTGGTGGTACATCACACTCTCCCACGGTACTATGTCTGGTGGTATATCACACTCCCCCATGGTACAGTGTCTGGTGGTATATCACACTCCCCCATGGTACAGTGTCTGGTGGTATATCACACTCCCCCATGGCACAGTGTCTGGTGGTACATCACACTCCCCCATGGTACTATGTCTGGTGGTATATCACACTCCCCCATGGTACAGTGTCTGGTGGTATATCACACTCCCCCATGGCACAGTGTCTGGTGGTATATCACACTCCCCCATGGTACATGTCTGGTGGTATATCACACTCCCCCATGGTACACAGTGTCTGGTGGTATATCACACTCCCCATGGTGGTATATCACACTCCCCCATGGCACAGTGTCTGGTGGTATATCACACTCCCCCATGGTACAGTGTCTGGTGGTATATCACACTCCCCCATGGTACAGTGTCTGGTGGTATATCACACTCCCCCATGGCACAGTGTCTGGTGGTATATCACACTCCCCCATGGTACTCTGGTGGTATATCACACTCCCCCATGGTACAGTGTCTGGTGGTATATCACACTCCCCCATGGTACAGTGTCTGGTGGTATATCACACTCCCCCATGGCACAGTGTCTGGTGGTATATCACACTCCCCCATGGTACATGTCTGGTGGTATATCACACTCCCCCATGGTACAGTGTCTGGTGGTATATCACACTCCCCCATGGCACAGTGTCTGGTGGTATATCACACTCCCCCATGGCACAGTGTCTGGTGGTATATCACACTCCCCCATGGCACAGTGTCTGGTGGTATATCACACTCCCCCATGGTACAGTGTCTGGTGGTATATCACACTCCCCCATGGTACAGTGTCTGGTGGTATATCACACTCCCCCATGGCACAGTGTCTGGTGGTATATCACACTCCCCCATGGCACAGTGTCTGGTGGTATATCACACTCCCCCATGGCACAGTGTCTGGTGGTATATCACACTCCCCCATGGTACTATGTCTGGTGGTATATCACACTCCCCCATGGCACAGTGTCTGGTGGTATATCACACTCCCCCATGGCACAGTGTCTGGTGGTATATCACACTCCCCCATGGTACAGTGTCTGGTGGTATATCACACTCCCCCATGGTACAGTGTCTGGTGGTATATCACACTCCCCCATTGAACTATTTAACGTCTACAAACATGGTAATACAATAATATTGCTTACTGACCATCGACATAGTTGTTGGATAATCTCCTCAATTTACAGTATTAAGGGTTGTCGGAGGTGTTTTTCCTGCTGTTCCATTATGACGTCACTTACAGGCTCACATTTCCTCTGTAATCTCCTTACAGCTGGATGGCCTTTCTCACACAACCAGAACTGTGAAATAAAACCAGATATCTTCAAGCCCACACACTTAGGGTAAACCCGACAGACAGGCAGGTAGGTCTCTTCATGGGCTTTATCGGGTGCTAAAGCCCTTTGGCAGGTGACCGGGCCCCTTTAATGTTTGCAGAGAGGGCTGGAGGAAGTGATTACCTCGCAGTACAGACCGCATGGGCGGGGGGAGACAGAGGGGGGGAAAGAGAGGGAGGAGGGAGCACTGCAGACAGACAGCTTCAGACTCTCATCAACTTCAGCCAGCCCCTGAAATTCACATCCCTGCAGCTAAAAGGTATGGGAGGGGGGTTTAACAATATGTAAATTGCAGTTTGTGTCAGTCAGTCAGTCTGTATGTGGGTATCTGTGTATGTCAGTGTGTGTGTGTATGTGCCTGTGTAGGTATGTTTGTATCTCTGTGTGTGTGTGTGTCTAAAATACCTTATCGGTTCATTTTATGGCCCTAAAGTACAGTTATTTACTATTCTTTGTTAAATATGGCTGAATGTATATATTTTTGTCAGCCTCCCTAGTAGCAATGATTATAGCAATATGCTGTATCTTTAATTAGGAATGCTTCTAAAAATATGCACAGTACAAGGCAACACTGATCTACATACTGCTAAATAGAATATCTATCATATTACAGCTGTGTCTTTTTTAACTTTCGTTTTGTATATAACAAGTGGTTATGTAATCTCTAGCACTCCTGATGGTAGACTAATACTTAGAACAGTGCTTTTCAACCCAGTCCTCAATTGCCCCATAACAGTCCAGGATTTAGAGATTACCCCGTTGTGTCTAAGGGGTTTTAGAAAAAAATAAAATAAAACCACTTTAGACACAACAGGGTAATCTCTAAATCCTGGACTGGTACGGGATGGTTGGGAACCCCTGCCTTAGAACAACTTCATGAAGTAAATAAACCCTTATTAACCAAGGATGTTCATTGGGTAATGTAAGTGTGCATACAAAATACATAAAGCAATCAGTATTGCCACTTTATTTTAATCATATTAGACAACATGTAAACATATCCATATGGATTATATTTGATGGCCACAACAAACAGGACAGACCATGCCCACTGCAGCCCCACTTATTGTCAACATGGCGTGTTCCCTAACCTTCAAAATATGGCTATTTTATGTGTAATTCTTGATAAAATAGCCAATTTGGGAAAATTATGAAATCCATTACAATCAGGATTTTTTTCCAACTCTGCTGTTTTAGTCAAAATATTTCATTATATTACTGTTTAGTGGAAAAGACCCCAAGTTGAGCACAAATCAGGAGGTCCTATTTTGATACCTTATCTACACAGTTTTAATTCTTCAAACAACATACCTCTAGGGAATCAGTGTCATTTGGTGTTGAAATAAAGGGACTCGTTGCATTCTTGCTAGATAATTATTACAGTAAGCTGCAGTGGTTATGGTGCATAGACTGTGCATACTCTGTCCTGAAGAGCTTGCAATCAATGTTGAGTAATTAGATCATATCCAGTCACTGATGTGTGGAGTAAGATCTGGCTATGGCAAGGCTTCTCTCTCTCTCTCAGTTTTGCCCCAAACACATCCTGCAGGCAGCTCTGTTTTAATTTTAGATACAGCAAAATAACATTTTGTTCTATCCAATTAATCTAATGTTATGTGAAATGGCATTTAATTAAAAAAGATACAAATACAGTTAGGAAAACATCGCCATAAATCTTTAGTTATCTTGGAAAGTTTTATTCAACAAAGGCTATTAAACAGCAGACGCTGATGCGCATCAGGAAGAGCGTTGCTGTATGCCAATTTCGTATTATTACCTAACCCATACGTTACCAGAGCCTGAACCACATGCTTTGGTCTACAGCAGCAATTCTCAATCTTCCTGGTACTGAGCACCACTAGTTGTACAGCTATGGGATATTTTTTTTAGAAACACATTTGCTAAAAAAAAATCATTAACTCATTACACGAATAGTTAACCCATTCATTAACAAGTAGCTTTTGTTAAATTAACATAACCTTTATTTTAAACATGAGTAACATAGCTAGCACATTAAAAAAGGATAAATACAATTACCGGTACATTTAGGTGATAGAAATGGTTGCAATACTATCTACGCATCTGTTTTATACACATTATTGCATGTCTCTCTTGCTGCAGGGAATGCAGCCTTGAAGTGTGACCTACAAAAGTAACTGTACCGGAAGGAAGAAAAGAGGGGCTGACCTTTGTAGGCCTTCTGCAGAGAGGCAGAGCAGAGCTCAAATGGCTGTGCTCGCATTAGGACTTCCCCTATAGGAAAACATTATACAATGCTTTCCTATGGGATTTTGGGTGACGCTGGATGTCCTCATGCAGAGTGTGAGGACATCTAGCGTCAGGCCACCAAAAGTCACCTAACGACCTGGAAGTCCCTCTAGTGGAGTTAACCCACAAGTTTCTTAAAAACTGCAATAATTAACTTTGCAGAATTAAGGGACTTGTGAAAATGCACACAGACCACTACAATGAGCTGAAGTGGTCTGGGTGCCTATAGTGTCCCTTTAATTTCTCTGCAGGCTGAGAAACCGCACTGGAGCAAGGGGAAATTGCTGTGCCTGATGATTATTAGTATTGTAAGCAGAGGGGTACATTTGTTATTAGGATTTGTTTCTTAAAGGTACACTATATAAGCATCACAACAACTTTAGTTCAGTGAATGAGTTTTAGTGAATTGATCATGCCCCAGCAGTCTCACTGCTCAATTCTCTGCGATTTTGAAGTTAAAGGGAAACTATAGTCCTCGGTGCTGGCTTAGCTCCGCCCACGCTCCTCGACCACCGACATCTGCCGGTGGGGGAGACCTAATTTGCATGCTTTCCTATGAGTATTCTGGTAATGCTGGAAGTCCTCATGCAGAGCGTGATGACGTCAAACATCAGTTAGGCGGCCAAAAGTCGCCTAACGATCAACTAGAGGAGGAGTAAACCCTAGCAGGTAATAATTGCAGTTTATAAAAACTGCAATAATTACATGCTCAGGGTTAAGGGTGATGAGAGTTTTCACCCAGACCACTTCAATTAACTAAAGTGGTCTGGGTGCCTACAGTGTCCCTTTTAAATCACTTTTTTTGTTTATGCAACCCTAGTCACACATCTCCTTGCTGTGACTGACACAGCGGGCATAAAGAAAAATGGTTTCAATTTCAATTAGATGTTAACTTGCTTTAGAGGTTTTTTTTTTTTAATCTCGTGCTCTGTAAATTGAACTTTCATAACACACAGGATGCTCCTGCAGGGTCTAGAAGGCTATTAAAGCAAGAAATAGGAAATTCTAAATGAAACAGAATGTTCAATAACATAATGTTAAACATTAAACCTCTCTTTACAGAAAGTGTTTAGGAAAGTTGTGTAAGTAACATGTATGGAGGTGTGTCTAGGGTTAAATAAACAAAGTGATTTATCTCCTAAATAGCAGAGAATTGAGCAGTGAGACTGCAATGGCATGATCTATAGACCAAAACCATCATATTAAACTAAAGTTGTTTTGGTGCCTATAGTGTCCATTTAAATGTTACAC